ACAACACAACTAGGTGTTTTTAAATAGGAAAATGTGATTCTAAAACCAAAAAATGGACTGGCATACATTTATTACTTGATTTAAAAACAACAAACAAACCCTCATCAGAATCACAGTTCAAGTTGAGTGTCTCTTAAAGGAGTTTATAGAGTTCTCAATTTTAAGTAACTATCATGAAAAAAGGCATGTCTGGAGTAAAAAGTAGACCCAATGGTCAGGAAAAACAAAACAATGTAACAATATCCTGCTTAAGAGTGTCCAAATAAGAGGTTCCCAAAATTTTTTGAAGTTGGAAAGCCATGTGCCTCTAAAGGAATTACGCAACATCGTACACAAAGAAAAGTGCAGCCTGTGTCAACAAGACGTGTATAAACCCTTAACAGGATATTTAAAGAATTATAGAGATGTACCTTATTACATGTGATTAAATACAAAAGGAGGTGAAGTGTACCTAAAGATTGCTTTCACTGCACTTTGTGGAATACATCACTACTCTATAATGAATGAGAGACAAAAGATTTCTTGTTAAATCTACAGCTGAAACATTTAGTAACTCCTACCTATTGGTTAAAATAAACTTGTGAACTGGATAGCAACAAATTATTCAGCCACTCGTATTCTTCTGTAGTTCTAAGATCACTAAGCTTCTCAGATGATTTTAGTTCTCCTTTTAACACCGAGCATTTGCAATACCTCACAAGCTCCAAAATATTTTTGCCTGATCAAATTGCCCTTTTTCGTCAGACAAACATTTTTGCCTGGATCTATTTTTTGATGGTAGTACTGCAACATTGGCACACAGATTTACTAACATATTACACTATGCAGGCTCCGTCGGCAGCCCAGCTTCCCGCAGCAGGGTCAGCTTATGATCCTGTGCTCTCTTCCTCATACACAAAATAATGTTACCACATGGAAACAATCCAGCAACACAAGCATGTAGTGTCAGGGAAGTGTGGCCAAAACAGGAGTCAAACCTGCAAGGAGTGCCTATTACCAGCTGGCACTCTAGTGGCCAGGCATCACTGAGCTCACTTGGACTTCTGCCCTTCTTCAGGATGTTTACCTGCATAGGTAAGTACTGTGCAGGTGCAAGAGGAAAACTGTGACTGTGCTAGGAGCAACAGAGATCCTTCCATAATTGCCAACAGCATATGCAAGGGTACTTTCAGTGTCCTCATCATCACCGTACCATCCATGAAATACACTTTCAACATTTTTTCTCTCTATCCATTGACATTTGAAATTAACATAATTATTCAGTTCCTTGTTTGTACAATACTGCCATTAATCTTATCATAACTCTGCAAATAGGATTCGTCAGCTAACCTGTGCTTTCTTTACTACAGCTTTAATAGCAAAGAGCCATCTATGAGTATAGATCTCACACAAAACTAGTATTCTGTGAGATTAATGAGTTTAAATACCCCACAAAAATATTAACAATCCAAATGCTACTCCCACTAGACTAACCAAATTAGTTTACCCTTTGGGGTTCTAAATGACCCTAAATAAGATTAATTGAGCCCACTTAAAAACTATAAAAATACCGCTCTTTGACAAAGACCAAAAATAGTAATTACGTTTATTTGGACCAAGCAATATTTTCCAAACATACGTGAACAAAGTTGGGCACCTAAATCAGTTAAATGATTTTCCACAGATACTGACCAAGTCCCAATATCACTTTTTCAGGCCACTTGTTTAAGCTTTGACGTAAAAGCTGTAATTAGTTAAAAAGAATTTGGGCTACGGTAGATTTAGTGACACACTTATGCCACCCGTATCTCATAACGGAGCACAAAAGGGATCTGGGGCATCTAACACATCAATTAGGTATACACCATAATCCTCCGATTGACATTTTGGTTGTCCTTCAGGCAGGCAAGAATCAGCCATCTGTTGCCTGGCAGCAGTTGTGAATTGTCCTTGGCTTCCAAGCAAGAGGATTTTTTCCCTATTTGACATGACTAATGAGAGAGATACAAGTAACCTCATAGACTCATAGACTCATAGACTTTAAGGTCAGAAGGGACCATTATGATCATCTGGTCTGACCCCCTGCATGCTGCAGGCCATAAAACCGTCCCTACCCCTTCCCTGGACTCTGCTGTTGAAGTCCCCAATCCTGTTTTTAGTGACTGCAATCGGCAGAGACCCTCCTGCTAGAGATCCCTGCCCCATGCTGACAAAGTTGGCAACAGCCAGCAAGTCTGGACCAATTTTTCCCCATCTTTTTCCAGATGTTTTGATGCAGATGAGCGTTTTTGGTAAATTATGTATAATTTGCCTAAAAGCAGCAAGCATTTGAAAATGTACTGAAAAGCTGTCTGGTTTTATCGGAGCTTCTTTACGAAGCTCGACAGCCTCTCTTGTTACTGTATATTAGAACATCTTATACAACAAGGGCAAGGGATTCAAATTCTAATCCATCCCAGGTTGGTAATGACAGAGTTACCATGCAATACCTGTACAATGGGTTATATGACTGGCTCCATCCAGTGTATATACGGCAAAAATCACAAGTGGTCCATAACCTGAAGTGCACGCACTCCCTGGGGATGCGAGATGCCCTTTCTGGGGGTGCGAGACATGCAAGTTTTTTTTTATGACGGTAAATCATCTAAACATAAGTACAACTACTTTGTTTCATCAAACCTATGTATTTATTAACATTATACATGTTTTAACAATTAAAAGCGGGCTGAGCGGGGCAGCCGGGACCCCAGCTGGCACCAGCGTGCCAGTAAAAATCGGCTCGTGTGCCACCTTTGGCACGCGTGCCGCAGTTTGCCAACCCCTGACCTACAGTTATCACCTATTCTTTAGCCTCAAATCCCATTATCCATCATATGGGATAGTCCAAATTGTGACCAATTTGCTACAAGGCCAGTTCCCTTAAAGGGCCATCCCACTCTGTGAGGCAGTACCATTGTTGGTAACCTCCACAAGGAGATGAAGGGGTGTATGGGCCACAAAAACAAACTCTCCTTCTAATCGTTATGGAGAAATAGTCCCCTCCAGGTGAGAGGCAGAATAGTAACGTTTGTGCAGCCTGTGCCAAAACATTCCGTGAATAAATGGAAGGATTCATAAAAACAGTCTTACTGATTGCCCTAGAAACTGAGCATTTAACTATCTAACACACTCAGGTAAAATATCTCCATACACCACTTAAAAAGGGGTTGGAAGAAATTCCTCCATCAACTTCCCTCCCACCTCATCGAATACCCAAGGTCTCCAACAGTGCAACCATATCACTGAAGCCCAGTTCTAATTCAGAACACTAATTCTATCTACGCAGGCACCAGAATAAGTTATATGCATAAATATATAGAGCTAAGCAGACAAGTACTAATTTGATTTCAAAAATCTGTTTCTAGTCCAACAAAATCCAGCTGAGAGATTATTCAGCGGCCTAAAGCAGCTATATCAATGTTTCATGACAGAGGTACAGTGAACATATTCAAAACAAAAACGCCATCTACAAATCAAATCAAAACATCTATGTAAAGCCAGACCACATACACACAAGGAGTTAAAAAATATATGTATATATCAATCTGTTGGTGTAACCATAGACTCAAACCCTAGTCACCTCTGCTTTGCAGTTAGTAAGAAAGACGGTATTGTGGTTTAGCCACAAGACCAGTCAGAGACCTGGTTTCTATTCCTATCTCTGACACTGTCTTCCTGTAAGCCATTAGGGAAGTCACTCTGATACCTCATCTATATAACTACTATAATAGTTTCACACCACCTGTAAATTCAAAGAATTGTATTATACAATAAAAACAAAATTTTTGTAAAGGAGCCATGTGTACTTACAGAAAATATCTTGGGCCAAACTGACATTGCAAATTGGAATTTACATCAGCTCATTGTGTTTGTTGTGGTTTTTTGCCTTTTCCTTTATCTCTCAATGAAACAACGGGAGGAAAAAAAACCCACCACTAAATAACTAGACTATCTCAAGAAGAATATTTTGAAAATTCCTCTCAGCATAAAGTATGGAATTGTCAATCATTTTGCTATTTCAACAACTAATCAAAATAGAAAAGTTTACCAAAGTTTAAGATATTTAATTAAATTAAACACTAGACAAGTTTCCAGTTAAAATTTAAAACACCAAAACATAGTAATCTGTATATTACAGGTCTGCACAGAGTTCTATTTTTTAAAGAAACCAAATATAAATTATACTTCAAAAGACAGTAAGAAAAGAATCTTGTCTAAACTCTCATCATAATTTCTAAAACTGTAAAGGTTAAACCAAAGAATCCTACAGAGGCAGTCAAAAATCAGAAAGCACAAAATGAAGTGTCACTTCTCAGCAAGGAATGCTGTGATCTAAACCAGGCAAACAGCTGGCAGATTAGGCAATCTTCAAATTTCAAAAGTGCATTATGAACCAACACACATTAAAGATCAAGACCACTACACATGGAATATAAGTGATGTAATATACCATATTGGAACAGCTGAATGTTTGACACTGGATTTATCAGTCATACTACTGGAGGTACAAAGTACTTTGTAAGAAGCAAGCAAAAATCATTTGTGAATCAAGCTAAAATAAGGCATTCCTCTTTTCCCCTCAAGGCTAAAAATAAAAGTAAAGCTTCTTTAAAAAAAATTCACAGTAATATATTTAGGTTTTATTTAATTAAGTTGTCACAGCAATGCCCCAAATACAAACAACAGAAAATGGGCACAATTGGAAAAAGAAAGGATATAGTGTCAATATACAGACGTAAAATTGCTAAAGTGAAATTGAATAGACAGCACCATTATTACTTTTAACTTTATTCTGAAACATGAAAAGCATTTTTAAAAAACACTAAAGAACCAGATCAGTAAAAAAAACCCACGTAAAATGGCCACAAAAATGTATCTTGATACCAATGTAAATGCTATGTCATTTCATTTAATATATTTAAATAACAAATGAGCTGCAATGTGATGGTAGTAATAGACTGAGATTAACACAAAGCACTTACCTTAACAAAATTGTCAGGGAACATGCCCCTTTTTCCATTTAGCTCCCCTTCTAACCATCCTTCCTCTTCTAGTTTTTTCACATTTCTGATGATTTCTCCAACTCGAATTGTTAACTCATCATCATGTATGGCATCATAGTCATACTCCACGATATAGTCAACTGAGAGAAGGAAGAAAAGAAACAGTCAATGCTCAAATCAGACATGTGGAAATATGACATGTCTTATTTTAATGCACTGCATTCAGTGATTTATACATAAGAGGGACCTCGCAATAAAGAGTTCTTTTGACCAATTTTTTTTTTCAAGTAAACAAGGGGCCAGTTTTTCAGAACCTCACTTCAAATATTGTACATGTGATTTTGTACACGCTCATGTGAATGTTCAATTGCCTCCTATGCACACAGATTGTATTATGTGCCCGAAAATAACAGTGCATGTACAGTTCTATTTGCAAAACTGACACTTCTTTGAAAGTTTGGTTCAAGAAATGTTAATCACAGATTTGCACCAAAAACAAAACACATTCCATTATGTTTAAAGTTTGCATAATGGGCATGGAGACAACAGCTTTAACTTGGACACGGCAAAGTTTAGTCATGAAAACCCTGGCAATATATTTGCATACATCTGTTGCACAAAAACAATGAGAACTGCATACAGCCAACTTGTATCTTGTTTGGTAATAAAGAGGATTTTTTTTTTCCTAGAAGTTCTGTTTTATGTCTGATGATTCCATTAATCACACATGTCCGTTAAGACAGCCTTTCCATTGCCAAGCAGAGTGTTTATACCACTGTGATGGGTTGCCCCCCTGTAAGGTGACACCTGATGTACTGGGATACCACTGAGCCTGCCTGTTCCACCTGCCTGGGCCCTCTTTACCCTGTCTTGCTGAGCCAGTCTCTTAAGCCTCCTCTAGCACACATCCAGGCAGGGCCACACCCAGCTGCAGAAAGACACAGACACTGAGAACAGCTCTGGGAAGATTCAGCTTAAGGGACTTGCCCCAGCACTCAGGTGCCCACCTCCCTTGGAGTGCAGTCCCAAAGGTATATTGTCTTGCGCTGCATAGAAAAATCTGCACAGCGCAAGCTCATAAAAATTCACCCTCTCCCTCAATGTGAAGAGAGATGCACAGCTTCTTGCCCCCCCCCAACCCCGATATGGATTGCACAAATCGGGTTATGTTATAAACAAGAAATAAGTTTATTAATTACAAAAGACAGATTTTAAGTGAAAGGGATAGCAAACAGAACAAAGCAGATTACTAAGCAAATAAAACAAAACACGCAAACTAAGCTTGATTCACTAAAGAAACCGGTTACAGAAATGTAATTTCTCACCCTAAATATTGAATTAGGCAGGATGCAGAATTTCTGTAGTCCTCCATTTACCATTATTAATCCCTTTAAACCATCAAGTCTTTAGCAGCCAATTCATCAAAGGAGCTAGTACAAAGGAGATGGACAGAGGTGAACTCTTCCATGTCCTAACACTGACAGATAGCTCCTCAGCCAGCTACCCCACCACTCGTGGTGTAGTAGGCATGCCACAGAGGAGCTCTGCTACACCATGCCAATCCTTCACTGGAATAAGTCAGAGTCGCCTCCAGCCTGCTCTGACTCCTGCCAAGGCCAAACTCGTGCAGAAAACCGGCTGTGGCTCCCTGACCGCTTCTCAGGATGATCAAGCCGTAGGGTGGG